TCCCGCTTTTTTTCGAACCTTCCGACGTCACTTTTGCGCGCCTTTCCCACGCTTTCTCGGAAAAGGTAATTAAAAAACGGACTGCTACGCCAAGGCCCTAATTATTTTGAAAAAAAAACCATTGAATTTTGTAATTGGTTGTGTGCAAGGCGCGGGCAACGTTTTCCCCCCAATAATCCCCGGTAAATAGCGGGTGCACCTTTCCCAATAAGGGTAGTAATGGTAACATTTGTCCACCTCCATTAATGTAACGGTTTGGCCCGGAAAGGGACATCGGGGGGGAACTTCTTTTTTCCATCCCGCGAATTAATTTTTTTCCAAAAATCGCGCGACTTTACTTTTTTTTCCAAATCAGCACTTCTTTTTTTAAAAAAATCCCGCAGCCTTTTTTTTTTTAATTTCCGCGACCTTCCCCTTTATAAATATTCGCGACTTATTCTTGATTCGCGACATTTTTTTATTGTATTTTGGTAGTGAATTTGAAGAAGAGTACATATGGCGGAATATCCAGTAACCATGTTTCTCGTGGCCATCTTGATCTTTTTCTTCTGTTTATAGGGTACTGTCATTGTGTTTTACAGACTACCTTCCAGTTTGTGGGACAGACATCTATCAATAGAGATGAAGTGATAGCTACCTATTTTAACAACATGGGACATAGTTATTTCCCCATGAGGTGTTTTGGATATCCTCCTGTGAAATGACACGAAAAATGAGATCACATCTTACCTGTCTGATCGCTTCCTGTTCTTTCTCCTCCGTTTCGCTTTCCCCCTGTCTTCTCGTCTCTGTCCCGCCATCGCCATATTGCTCACTATGATGTGCTCCGATGTGCTCAGTTTATACGTGAGCCCGCAGTCTCAAGACACGCACAAAAAAGAAGTCGCGAAATAAAAAGAAAAAAGTCGCGGATAAAAAAGGAAGAAGTCGATAAAATAAAAAAAGTCGCGGATATAAAAAAGAAGTAGCGAATAAAATTGAAGTCGCGGATGGAAAAAAGAAGTCAATGTCGTTGATGTCCCTTCCAGACCACAGTACATATGCCTCGAGAAGGAACCAAACTAAATGAGATTGTCAAAAATTGCAATATCCTGTGGTGAGCACTCCACCCCTACTGGTACGTTCGCGAGGTTCTGCAAAGCGGTATTAATTTTCTAGTGTTATTTTCATATTTGTGGGTTCTTGGAGACAGTTTCAAGCCATTTCAACGACAAGTTATACTTTTGGGGTTGACCCCCACCAACTGAAAAATTTGGAAATTACGTTCCCAATAGAACGGGCGGTTTGTTAGCCTGAGAAAACAGACGTCGTTTTGTGGCACCGCGAAACGACGTCTGTTTTCTCAGGCTAGCGGTTTGTGGGCTTTCGATTGTTTCATGCCCAGTCTTCTTCGAGTGTTTAGCCGCCATCTTGGATTCGCAAAACATGTAGAGTTGGGGCGAGTGAAAGAGGGCGGGCGGTTGAGGTTTGTGAATTTGCGGTTTTGATCATTGTGTTCGGCGGTTTTTCGGTTTTGAGCGATTTTTATTGCGGTTTTTCAGTTTTCACGGAAATTTGGAGCGGTTTTCCGGTTTCTAATAGGCCCCAATCCTTCAAGGCCACTGAAACATTCCAATATACACATTTTTCATGCCACCCAGCCTTCTTTGAACAAACTCTTCGGAGGCAACTTTTTAAACAAGACTCAACAAGTTCAAAATACACTTAATAGATCAGATCCGCACACCTGTAAACCAAACCCTCTCCGAAATACGCTTCGAAAACAGACAAGCCCTCCGAAAAAAGCCGACTTAAGAAAAACAGATGTTGCCCTTTGTCACACAATATCAACCATCAGTTCCTTGCCTTAAAAAGTTCTTATGGCAAACTGGCGCCTAATAGAGAAACAGCCTCACTTGAAACAAATCTACAGAGAAGCTCCTATCATATGAAAAACTATATGGCAAAACTATAGGGAAAGGCTAAAAACATGCGCGTGGAAGGCGTGATTGTAGGCTTGTCAACCCCATAAAACAGTTCATCTGGGATTTTGAAAGTGATGTACTGCTGACCAATGACGAACAAATCCCGGGGGTGCATCCCGGGGGTCTGCATGTTCGTTTCCAAAACTAAACAATGTCCCTACCCCGCGGGGCAAAAAAATTGTCAAAAATGCACCATTTCCCGCATGTTCCCGGGGTTTCCCCAGGGGTGTCCCGGGGGTCAACCCCCGGGAAAGCCAATGATAAGTGCATAATTCGTAGTAACGACATTCCGCCGTTCTAGTTTTATTCCACGTTCTTCTCTTCCATTCTTGGTTTTATTTTTAATCTGAAACATGAATGACAACCTCGTCCTCGTGTTCGCAACGGGTGATTTTCGCGGCAAAAGTAATTCTAAAAATAGCTCAAGGTGTAAACTACGCTGTGTCATAGGGCCAATAAGGGAGATGGAGGCTCCAGGGTGATATGCTCCTGATAAGTTTATTCTTTACTGATGATTGTTTCGAAATTTTGTGATGTTACCCATATATTGACTTATTACACTATAAAATTAAGGCCAGCAGTTGCATCCAAAAGTCGAGTCCGCAATCTCGTTCTCAGAGGCCGCGATCCTTTTGGTCAGCACCAAGGATACCGTGGTTGTGTGGTGCTACTGTATGTATGGTTATATAGGGCTGTGTGGTGCTGTATATGGCTATGTAGGGATGTGGGGCACTATGTATGGGTATATATGTGGTTGTGTGGTGCTGTTATAGGTATTAGAAGCTTATCACGCTTATGTGGGTATATATAGGGTATATGTAGGGTATTTAAAAACTATTATTATACTATTAGGGTACAATATGTCCCCATACATCAAGTACCTACCCGTTGGGCGTTCGGTCACCGCTGACCGAAACGCGCTGGCTCTGGGGACGAGATTGGGCGAGTCCGCGACAGGTTTCTCAGGGTCTCTCTGGATTGCGAAACACAGAAGTTGGCTTGGCATTTCTCGAAAATGATAAAACTCAATGTCGGCGGCCATCTTTTCACAACCAGTAAGGCAACTCTGAGTAGTGATCCAGGTACTTTATTCTTCTTTCCTGAATGTATATCTGTCTTGATTTCGCACGCGGGAAACATGGAACTCGGTCAAACGGTCACAACATTTGTCACAACATTTGTGAGCCGATGTTGTGACCGTTTGACCGCCCCTCACAACAATGTTGTGAGATGTTGTGAGGAGTTTGAATTAATTTAAACTTTGTCTCAACATCGTCACAACATTTCTTTTGTTCTTGAAATGTTGTGAGAATGTTGTGGCCGTTTGACCGGGCATGGTCACAACATGTCACAACAAATGTTGTGACCGTTTGATCGGGCCTTTAATAATAGCAAGGTTCTTTTACACTAGACATAATGCATCAATAATGTTTCTCCAGGTTCGATGTTACACGCCATGTTTTCAGGAAGATTTGACACAAAGCCGAGCGAAGATGGATCTTACTTCATTGATCGAGATGGAACTCACTTCCGCTATATTCTGAATTATCTTCGCACCGGGCAGCTTATTGTACCTGAAGATAAGCTTAAGGTTATTCGCAAGGAGTTACTGGTCGAGGCCGAATTTTATCAAGTTGAAGGAATAATCAACGAGCTTAAGGCAAGGCCATTTAAGGATTCATTAATCCTCTCATCAGAACAACGGCAAACCTTGATCGACTGGCTGAAGGACACACTCACAAGTACCAGCAATAACTATGCCTTGTTATATCGCAAATCACGTGATTATGACAGTACAGCGACGGATAGCTGGGACTACTTTTCCAGATTTCACTCCCTTTGCGACTGCAAGGGACCAACGGTGACAGTGATCAAGTGTAAAAATAATGTATTTGGAGGATATACCGAGCAACAGTGGGAAAAGTCCAGTAAGTACTTAAAAACCGGGGGGAGGTACTAAGATACCTACCCTGTGTAGGACAACATCCTCTATGTTAGGACCCTGTTTAGGTTGCAAAAATTTAGCGAATCTCATTTGACTGATGTGCGGCAAACTTCTCCAATCTCTAAATACTGCATAAACCATACCCTGTTTAGGACAG